GACATCCGGACCAAGGATGACTACGTCAAGGCGAGCAACATTGCGTTCGGACTGATGTTGCTCCACATGAACGCGGACTACCATCACGTGGTTGATGACTGCGAGGAAGCGTGGGGCGCGTGGACGCGCTTGAAGACGCTGTATGGTGGGTCGCAGAAGGCTGGTCGCATCTACCTGAAGCGCCAACTCTTCAGCATGGAGATGTCGGAAGGCGGCAATGTCTTGCATCATTGCAACGAGGTCCTCAACATCAGCGCCAAGCTCAGCAGCATCGGCGCCAAGATGGAGGACGAGGACGTGGCGATCTGCTTACTGCGAAGTCTCCCCAAGAGCTACGAGAACGTCGTGCTCAATCTGGAGATGAGCAACGCAGAGCTGCGGTCGCAAGACGTTGTGAAAGTGCTCACAAACGAGCACATCAAGCGACAAGGTGAAGAGACGGCGACGGTGAAGACTGAAAACGCGGCCAAGGCGTTCAACACCGACCGAGAGTCTCGCCAATGCACGTACTGCGGGATATTTGGGGCACATGATTGACAAGTGCTGGACCAAGCAGAAGGATGAGGGTCGAGGTGCTCGACGCGGCGGCAACGGCCGTGGACGCGGAGCTAACAACATCCAGTGGCGAAATGACGGCGACGACGACTACGACTACGATCGAGTAGCGTTCGCGGTTTCCCTGGAATGTGGAGTATCGACGAACAAGAATGTGTCTGGAATGTGGGCGGTCGACAGTGGTGCCACACACCACATCTGTAACGACAAGTCCAAGTTCGCCAATCTCATCGAGCGCAATGAAGGCGAACTTTCGGTGGCCGACGGGAACAAGGCGGCTATCAAGGGTGTGGGGACCATCGTGGAAAGAGTGGTCCTGCCCAACGGCACCGAGCGCGAGATCGAGATCAAGAACGCGCTCTATGTGCCTAACATGAGCAAGAATCTGCTTTCAGTACCGCAGATCAACAAGAACGGAAAGTTCCAAGTGGTGTTCGATGGCACCGAGATGCACATCTCACGCAAGGACTCGAATCAAGTGGTGGCATCGGCAGATCTCGTAGATGGACTCTACTGGCTTCGCACGCCTCTTCGATCAGCAAATGCGGCGACAACTGGAAGGACGGTCGACCTGCATGCGCGTATGGGTCACGCTCCAGTCGAGGTGCTTCGCAAGATGGTCGACAACAAGATGATCAAAGACGCGAAAGCACCTTCCAAGCCTAGCGGACCAAGTCTGTGTCGCGGCTGCCAGCAAGGCAAGATGGTCCAAAAACCATTCCCTAGCAACCGTGACAAGCGTCGCTACGACACTTTCGAGTTGCTTCACTTCGACATTTGCGGACCCATGGAGAAGTCCTCCCTTGGTGCCAGCAACTATTTGCTACTGATCGTGAACGAAGCCAGCGGATGCATGAAGGGCTTCTGCCTGCGTGCCAAATCAGAAAGCGAAGACTGCATCAAGACGTACATCACGAAGGTGCAGAAGCAGTTTGGCAAGAAGGTCAAGTTCGTGCGACACGACGGAGCTCGGGAGTTTGCGACTAACTCGCTTAAAGATTTCTACGAAGACGAGGGCATCGAGCAACAAACCACGGTTCCGTACGCGCACCAGACTAACGGCACGGCAGAGCGGGCCATCCGCACCATCGTCACGATCGGCCGCAGCATGCTGCACCATGCCAAGCTGGACAAGTGTTTCTGGGGTGAAGCGGCGATGACGGCCATCTACGTGAAGAACCGCCTGCCGTCACCAAAGATCGAGTGCAAGACTCCGTTCGAGATTGTGTACAAGTCCGCGCCGAGTGTGAAACACATGCGCGTCTTCGGCTGTCGAGCTTTCATCTTAACTCCGAAGGAGAAACGGCTCAAGTGGGATCCAAAGGCTCGCGCCGGATTGTTCCTGGGCTACGAAGAAGTATCCAAGGCGTATCGACTTTATGACATCGAGGCGGGGCAGGTGGTTATCAGTCGCGATGTCAACTTCGATGAATCGACCTTTGGACTTTCAGAGCCAATTTCCGATGAAGACGTCGACGACCTGGACTTCGAATCTCTCGACATCGACAATGACGGTTCGCGTCAGACGGAGCACAGGCAGGCGGGAAAGCGCAAGAGCCGCCCGAGTGACGAAGATGAATCTACCACAAGACCGCGAACTACGCGTCATCGAACCGGACTGGAAGAAGCAAGTGCGCCGACCAATTCGTCTTCACGTCGAGCAGACGTAAACGAAAAAGAAAAGGCTGGAGATCAAGATGAAGAATCGACTTCCCCCGTGTTTTGGCGTGCAAGTGCCAACGCAGTCGAAGCTGCGGTGGACTTATCGGAGCCAGCGACTTTCCAAGAGGCGGTGAACGGCCCCGACCAAGTGCACTGGCGCAAAGCAATTCGTGCTGAGCTCAAGTCGATGCGACTTCGAGGAGTGTTCCGTGCTGCTAAGTTGCCGAACGGACAACGCGCTATTGGTACCAAGTGGGTGTTCAAGATCAAGCGCAAAACGGACGGATCGATCGAGAAGTACAAGGCACGCCTCGTGGCCAAGGGCTTCAAGCAAAAGTACGGCATCGACTACACTGAGACGTTCTCGCCGGTTGTCAAGTACGTGACGTTGCGCATGGTGATCGCTTTGGCCAAGTACTTTGGCTGGCCGCTAGACCAGCTAGACGTGGTGACGGCATTCCTGTACGGCGTGATGAGGGAGATCGTGGTTTGCGTGGTTCCCGAAGGTGTCGAGCTCGACGGTGACTTCGACTGCCTGGAATTGGTGAAGGCCATTTACGGTCTAAAACAAGCTTCGCGCGTGTGGAACGAGACTTTCGACGAGTTCGTATGCTCTATTGGCTTTCAAGTTTCGGCCTTTGACCCGTGCCTCTACATCAAAGTTATTGATGGCCACTGTGTACTCATACTGGTCTACGTCGACGATGTCTTGGTCACCGGAAGCTCACCCGAGCTGATCTCACGCACGAAGGACGACCTCAAGACACGCTTCGAAATGACTGACAGCGGCAAGTGTGTGTTCGTCCTTGGGATCGAATTGGTAGACGGTCCGGACGGCAGCGTGACGATGAGCCAACGGCGTTATGTGGATGACATCCTGAAGCGCTTTGGTATGGACGAGTGCAAGGCTGTGGTAAGTCCGGTGGATATAAGCACTCGACTGGTTCCAAGCGACGCGGCGACCAAGGTACAAGCTCCGTTTCGCGAAGCTGTTGGTGCACTAATGCACCTGATGACCGCGACGCGTCCAGATATTGCGTACGCGGTGGGCTATGTGTCGCGCTTCATGGAGAATCCCCAAGAAGAACACTGGGTTGCGGTCAAGCGCATCTTTCGCTACCTGCAAGGCACCAAGACGCATGGAATCTGCTACAAACCGGGTAACAACATCGACTTTCGCGGATACTCTGACGCAGACTGGGCTGGTGACCTCGCGGACCGCAAGTCGACTTCCGGCTACACGTTCATGCTGATGGGTGCGCCAGTGAGCTGGGGCAGCAAGAAGCAGTCAAGTGTTTTGCTGTCTACGAGCGAAGCGGAGTACATCGCGCTAAGTCTGGCAATTCAAGAAGGCAAGTGGATTCATCGCCTACTGTGCGAGATATTAGCAGCTGCCAATGAGACTGGACCCGACCTCAAGATCCAAGAAGACAACCAGTCGTGCATCAAGATGACAAAGAATCCTGTGAACCACGGCCGCGCCAAGCACATCGACATCAAGTACCACCACATCCGCGATGAAGTCAAGCGTGGTGAAGTCAAGCTCGAGTATTGCGAGACTTCTGTGATGCTGGCTGACATCATGACGAAGGCGCTCCCAGGGCCTCGTCACATGGACCTAGCAGCTGCTCTCGGTATCCACGCGTGTTCGCATTGAGGGGGCGTATTGAGGGTTGCTGGTCTTGGTACTGTGTACCAGTTGTACCCATTAACCGGTCAACCTGAACCGGTCCAATACGATCCCGCTGTGATTATGGTACGTTGTTTATGCCACCCATGATTGGACGAGTAGAATGATTGGACGACCTAGGTAGTGAGGACAGTGTAAGCCCCGATAAATCAATCACTTTCGAATCTTCCTTCTTCCGCTCAAGTGCCTTCACTCCGGTCTCCGCACCAAGTGCAGAAGTCACTCCGTTCAGTCCCAAGCTTCGTTCCAACACCTCTACACCATTAACAACTACATTTACAGACTTGCCGGCAATGCCACGTAAAAGCAAACGAAACACGTACTTGCTAACGCCAAATAAAACAACGAGTCTACCTGACAGCCGTTATTCTATGTGGTTTACAATTTACACAAAGACAAAGGTCACAGATCTACACTTCGGTATTTTTATCCTGTTCAATCTCACCACGTTTTCAATTGTCTGAGCTATCGCCAGGCAAGGAAATAAATAAAGTGGTCTATCTACCGGAAATTTATTGGAATGAAAAAAGAAAGATTGCAAGCACGAAAGATATTGCAATGCCCAATTGGAGTGAAATGTGCAATACGGATATATAGAAATTGTTGCTATCTCTCGTTACAAATTTTGAATCCCAGAAAGCTCTTTTCATCTTCACGGACATGATTCCTACTAGGAGCGAAGAAGTCCTTCGGCGAGAACCTAGTATGAATGGTGTTAAACCTGGTTTTCGTATTTCGAGTGAGAGAGTAGATGCCGCGAAATGCTATGCCGCTGCTGCTCTACCAACACTATAGCTGGTTAATTTGGCCGTGCTAAAGAAGCGGTATGACATCAAAAACGGCGATGGCTGTGGTTAATCCAACCTACTAGTGACATTGAAGTGAAGTATTGCAATATTAAATTGAAATGGCCGATTGCGTGATCCCCGCCGATTCCAATATTCAATTGCACTTGAGAAGCTAACTGCAATGTCAACTGATATAGGGCGTAGCAAAAGATCCGATGCAAATTGATTTTTTTATCTTGTCGGCCTATCGCTAACTACGCAGAGAATTGCGTCTCGGGGCAGATGAGTACAATGAAAATGTATTCTCATTTTGTTGATCGTGCAGACTTGCGCTTTGCTTCTAACTCTAGCTGCGCTCTTTTCGTTTTAGAGTCGCTATTTAGCGTGTAATTTCGCTCGAGAAAGGTCTGCTTGTTGCTCTTCATCGCAAATTGCTTCTCGTACTGCAGTTGCTTTGCCGACTTGTTCATCTTCAGTCGAGTGCTCTCTTGGTCGGCCATCTGAGCGTGGACTTGTTTTTTACTTTCGGCTTGAACACGTGACGATTCAGCCATTCGAGAGGTGAAATTGTGCTCAATGTCCCCCCATGCATTTAAAAAGCGAAACTCGACTCCACACTGCTGACACCTTTTCTTCTTGTCTTTAAACTCGGAGTACGATTGCGGAAGACCACACTTTGGACAAGCCTTCTTATCCTGTATAGCGAGAAGAAGAAGAATTTTTTTTTAATTTACGGATCTTTTTGAAGATGGAGCAGCTCACTTACCAAACGTGCGTCATAATCGTTCTCGCCACGACTCAAATCCAGTTTCTACGCGGGCGACACATATTTGTAAACAAGTAATACGTATGGTACTACGCAAAAAATGTGACCTATCCAAACCGCTTACTTTTTTACGGTTCCTTTCAGCAGCTTCCATCCGAGAAATAAAACTTCGCCCCGAGTCTCCACCATCGTCGAAGTTTTCCCTCGAAGAGTCTGTGGAACGTTGAGTTTTTTTTCGTATTTGGAAGCGACAGTGCTGCTCTTCATCGTCGGTGGCAAATCTCCGAGGTGTGGACTTCTTGGGTGGTTCTGACAAGATTTCTGTTCGTTTCTACAATGAAATCAACATGTATAGGTGAGAGAGCACCTGGGTGCACCTTCTCCGCAAGAAATCGTTACGTACTCGGATAGTTCCTGAAAGTTATAGCATTCAAAGGTTACACAGAGTTTTGTTAGTCGCCTTCGGTGGGACGAGCAGAGCACGACAAGATACGTACTAGGTGAAGTGGCAACCACCTTGAGCCTCAGTCTCTCAATTGTCTTGCTGGCTGTTGCAGCCTTGAGCAGTTTTTCCTCGTAAATAGCAGATTTCTTAACCCCTGTCAAGGCACTAGTTCCAGAAGTTCTGGCGCTTAAAACACTGCGGGCGATAGTCGTAATACCATCCTGACTTTTGTAAACACCTGCAGTAGAATTTAGCCTTAAAGTTGACGAAGATTCAGCGAGTAGCTGCGAGCTCCTTTGGCCGGTAAGTGTTGTTACTCTTGGTGAGAGAATTGCAGACGTTATCGTGGCCTTCGCTTGGCTAGTTTTGGCCTCTGTGGCAATTGCAGATTCTGGCGTCTCTGAACGTCCTTCGACTTGCTGAATAGAGTGCACTTTGGCTAACATTTCGGCCAGTTCGGCGTCTTCCCTCTCGTCGACGTCGTCATCGTTAAGATATGCGTTCGCGTAGCCGTCATCGGTGCCATCGCAGTCGTCCTCCATGCCATTAATACTGAGCCCCGTTTCGCACAAGTCGTCTATTTCTGCTGTGCTCAAAGTAACTTGACCACCTCAACACCACAAACAAAGTTTTAAACACCACTGCGAAGCTGAAAAATGCTAACAAAGCAAGATGTGGATCACCTGAAGTCGCAGGTGGAGTTTGCAATGGAGGTCTTGCTTCGCGCTGCCGACGAGCGCATCAGCTGGAAGATGCCTGGGGACTCTGCAGCATCAGGTGCTCCATTTTATGCGTTTTTACCTGGCTTTTACGAGTCCGCATCGCCACAAACTACTTCAGCACATCCACCGCATCAAGATGAGGTGGGCACACACGAGTTGGCCAACGTCAAGTCTCAACCGCCGTCATCGCCCACTTCAGCTGTAGCCACGGATACTGCTGATGGAAGTAAGACCCAGATCAAACTTCATGGAGACAATACGTTCGAGTATGTGTGGACAATGAAGCGTAGCGGTGTGCGCGCGATGGAGTTTACGGTGGAAATGGAAGGAAAATGGACCAAACCGGTGCTGAATCGAACTCGAAGAGGCCAGGAAGACCAACGTGTCATCCTCTCTGCGCAGCGAATTCGCTTTCATCGGCTATCGAACTACGGTAGGGTATCGAGTTGTCAAGATCAAGAGTATTATGTTATTTTTTTCTTTCATTGTTGAATACACCCGTAGACACAGAGAACCAAACCTGGAAATTGTGCCTGAGAACGCTCACACGCCACGGTTCTGACTGGGCCAATGTCGGACTAAGTGAGCGGGGTGTTCCACCAATAGTTATGACCTTCCAATGTTCAAATGGGTGTTTAGAGAGCACCGGCGCCGCTCTCCCCGCGCAGATCCTGTCAAACTCGCCTGCATGTCGGGTCCTTGCGGGTCTCACCAAGAAGATCGCCAACAAGTTGGGGGCGCCAGTGGACGTGATGACCGAAAAGTGGTTACCAGCTCGGGGCGTACGCTTAGCTCCGACCGAGGGCGTGAAAATCAAGCGGTTCAATCCTTTCTTCTGGTACGGTGATTAACTTCGAGCTCACATTCCTCTTGTCGCTAACAATTGTCAACGGATGTTTCAGCCTCGCCGACGCACTGCGCAGTGGTTGCCGGCTGGAGCCTGCGTCCGATAGTGCTTAAGCACGTGACCTAGGGGGCGAGCTCCAGCTCCCATATTCTCACGAACAATAGCTAAGTATTGTCAAATACTAAATAAATTGGTAGTCCTATACTGTATTAGCGTTAGACGCGCACGTCCGCAATCGAGTCACAGTCCAGTAGCATTTGTGAGCACGTAAAAAAACAGAGGCTCTGTCAGCATTCCGTGGGCAGCGAAGGTGTATAGGAGAGCGTTTCACAGCTTGCTGGAATGCTCTTCAATGTCAAAAAATAGTGCAGGAGTATATCTCCTCAAAATCAGTACTTCAAAGTATTAAAGTGCTGTCTCACTTTTCAAAAGCCAATAATTCAATGCAAAAAAAAAAAAAAATAGTTTGTTCAGTAACAACAGACGATAAGGCAAAGGATACATGAAAAAGTAAAAAAAAACTTGTTCTCAATAGGAATCAACAGAAAAAACTGTTGTGCTATCGCATGATTGAAAGTTCTTCCGAGATGACACTAGAGAATCTTCACATGCAAAACTGGGGCATTCTAGGCATGTTTGCGCTCGTCCTTGCTCTTGGGCATGACACGACGTAGCACAGGCGTCAGCACGCCGTAGATGACAAGTGTGAGGACAGGCATGACGAGCAGCCACATGTAGATGGCATGCAGTAGTGTGAAGCGGAACTGCAGCAGCGTGGCGATGGTGTCTTTCTTAATGTCATCCATGAAGCTACCAATGGCAAAGTCTCCTTCTCCTTCGCCTCCTCCGAAGACCGCATTGCCGTAGTAGCTGCAACATCCAAAAAAGGGGGATCAGTACTTGACGTATCTTATATCTAAGAGGGCAAGTATTCGACGCACATGAAGACCGGGACGGCTGCGATATTGAGGGGTGTCACGAGATAGTTAGTGAGCATAGCAGCCACAGGGTTCAGGCGGAAGAGGAAAATAGCGACCATAACGGGCACGGTCGTGACGCCTGGAATGGGGAAGATTCCTCCTGAAACGCCAAAGGCCATGGCCATCGCGATACTGCTGGGCGAGGCTGTAGACAGCACGGCGCTTAGCATCGTATTGTGATGCAAGAGCAAGCAGCAAGACTTACCGCCAGACTTGAGCAGCTTGACGACTGGAGCCTTGACCTTTTGTTCGAAGAAGGTGGACATTGTTCCTGGCTACTTCTCTCTCACCCCGCACAAAGTAACAATGCTGTTTTAAAAATAACCCCCAATAGGACAAAATGAGTTGTGTAGGCCACATCAAAAACAAATTTGTGCTAAGACAAACTCTGATTGGGGTTACAAGTAAGTGAATTCTTATTCGACACAAAGTGAAAAAAGACACATGCTATTTTGCCAGACTGAGTACCACTAGACAAGACATATGTGCCATATTAGGCCAGTCTGGAGACCCGATTAAGCCAGAGCGCGTCAAACACGCGCTCTTGCACTTCATCTACAATAAGGAAGACTGATTCACAATATCAAAACTTCAAGTAACAATAAAAGCTAAAACAGATGTGAACATACATGTGACGGGGTCACACAGCACCTTGCACTAGAGGAAGTTATCTTCCGAGAGTATACAAACTCTCAGTGAACGGCAGTTCACAGGTCCCCTCTTTAATTAAAGAGAGCGAAGTATCCCTAAATAAGGTAGATTGTAAACTGAGTATATTTATAGGTAGGTTAAGTTTGGATTTAATACAAACTGTTAGCTACCTATAGAAATGCAATGTCATTTAACCAATGGTTGGCTTTGAACGACCTTGGTACGTTGTACCAAATATCTCGGAGTATGACGTGTCATACTCCTGAAGTGTGAAGTGTCACACTTCATGTAACCAGGGTACACTTAGGGCTACGTACCCCGTTACATCCTCCCCCACTTAGGTTCGGTTTACCGAATAATCAGAATGAAGAGGTGTTCGTCACAAACTCTCATTCTCAAAGTCGAAAACCATCGACTTGGCCGCGCGAGCGCGGCGGAGGCTCACTTCACAGTTAGAGCCTCGAGCAGCAACCTGTGCGCTCTTCGTCTAGGTCTCCACTTCGACCGTTAACATGCCTCGTGGCACTGCTAAGAGCGGTGCTAAGACACGCTCCAAGGCTGCAGCCGGTAAGGCGCAGGCCAAGAGCACTAAGCCTCACGGCAAAGGCTCTGCATTTAAGGAGGCTACTCAGGTGGCCTCCGAGGCGATCGGTTCCTCGGGTGACGCGGCTGTGGACAAGCGCGCAAGCAAGCGCCGCAGCCCGTCGCCCTCATCTTTAGACAATCATCCGAACCCTCGGTTCGTAGAACGTGAGTTCAACTCAGGCAGTGAGGACGATGCCGAGTCCGGGAGCACTCATGATGCTCCTGCGGGCTCTGTGGGAGGGCACAGCTCAGTGCCCACTGAGCACAAAGATGACAGCGTGCAGTCGCTCGCTAGTGATCAAGGTGGTCACAGTCCTAGGACCTCTGTGCGCTCTGAGAGTCCGACCGTCAAGGCTAAGGGAGCTCCCAAAGCCGGTGGCGATGAGAAAGAGAATCCTCGCAAACGTCTCTCGCTTGCCGAGGGTCTTGCGCGTGCTAAGGCCTCTAAAGCCGAAGGCGCCAAGCCCTCAAAGAAGCGTACTGCCTCTAAGTTTCCACTCCGCGAGGAGAAGGAGACTCGTCGCTCCTATCGGAGTATCTTCGACTCCTCGGATGAAGAGGAGGAGAAGGAGGAAGAAGGAGGAAGAAGAGGAAGAGGAGGGTGCTATCGTTGAGCCCCGGGAGGTCTCGAATGACCTCGACCAGCAGCAGGAGGATTGACAAGCTGCCCAGCGTGTGCGTGGGGGTTCGGTGGCGGCACCCGTCAGCCAGGGAGCTGCCATCAACTCAAGAGGGTATTGGCCTCCCGAGGAGAGCTCTGGGGCTGATCTCTTCTTAGAGCTTCTCGTCGCTCCTCGTGGCCTTGTGGGCGGCCACACTTCTAGGGGCATCTATGAACGAGCCCTTGTTCAGAAAGAACAGTTGTTCGTCGACAACTTGGAGGCAGCTCGGTGTGTGCTTCTCGCGCCACACCGCATTCCCCTTAAGGACTTCACGACTTGTCGTAAGAAGCCAGAGACCCGGGGTGGTCTCTATCCTGTTTGGGGATACCCCTGGGTTATGCTTGAGAACTGTCCCACGTGGAGTTCTTGTGAGGACATGTTCTGGGCGTGGGTGGAGACTCTCAAGTACTCACCCACGGAGTTACGGGAACTCCATAAAGATCAGCAGCTGTCCCACATCCTGGACCAGCGTGATCTTAGTGTGAGGTTTGCCCACTTGATCAGCAAGCGTATGCTGCCAAGGGACATCCTGAAGCGCGCGGTTTCTAGCGCTCACGATGAGCGCGGGTACGGTATGTATTCATCGACCGTACCCCGTTCGGGCAAGAAGCCCCGGACTACTTATGAAGCTGCCGCCGCTTCTGTTCCCAGATTGCGACAGCCTTCGGGCACTCAATCAGGAGCCGTTCAATCGGCTCCCACGAGTTCTTGGAGTGGGCATAACCCCTCCACTTCACGAGGAGCTGTCGCTTGCCGCGACACCGTTGCTCCTGGAGGATCCGCTCCACGTGGAAGTGGACTTCTCCATTCCGGTCAAGCAGGGGCGGAGGTGCCCTCGTACGAGTACGAGTACTCGGCGCCTCCCGAGAGCCACTCTCGTCCGAGTGCTCCGACTGCGGGTCCGACACAGGACCCTGAGGTTGACCGCCTCCGTCAACGTGTCCTCGTGCTTGAGATTGCACTTGGCCTTGGTAATGGCGGTGATGCTGCCGCCCAGGCCGGGAATCAGGGCGAGCTCGCGCGTCTTGCGGGCCGCCTGGACCTGGTGGAGCGAGAGGTCGCGAGCCTGCACCTGCGGGTGGATCGCCGGGCCTCTTCGTCCGATCTGGACGAGGCCTTTCGAATGATCCGACGGATCGAGGCTTTGTTGCCACGTCCGGAGCCGCCTGCGGCACACTCCCAGACGTAGCGTACCCGGCGTATTCAGCGTACTCGGCGTATGGCGCCGGGGTCCGTTCGTATGAAGCCCCTCCGGCGTACGGTCTTGACCGCAGCCTTGCCGTCCCGACCGAGGCTTGGGTGCCTGCTCCGACGCCCTCGTCGATGACTGTGACCGGCCCTCGCGTCGAGGAGCTGGGTCAAGGGGGGTCTGCGAGTCAGCAACCCCCTGCGGGTCAAAGTACCGCTCAAGACGTCCGACATAGAACGTCGGGTGCGTCGTCATTGACTTTGGAAGGTCGATGGTGTACGACGCACCATGTCTGGCCAGGACTGCAAAAGGTCCGATGAAGCGGTGCTTCAGTTTGTTGCTGCCGACAGAGCTAACAGTGTCTAGAGGTAGGTTCCTCGTGTCTATCAACACTAAGTAACCAATCTCAAATATACTTAAGTTTCCTCTTCCTTGTTTGTCCGAGTACTCCTTTTGTTTATCTTGGGCCGCTGCCATGGCATCGCTGACCCTGCTGACAATGTTCAGCTTGGTATCCATAAAGGATTTCACCTGTTTCCGCAGCGAAACTGGCCTCACATCAGAGACCTGGGAGAAAAGGGCTTTCCGAGCCTCTCCCCCACTTAGAATAGAGGAGTTAGTGTCTCCTCGAAGAGTGAGAGGCACTCTGGGGTGGCGGAAGCCATTCAAGTAGAACGGCGTGAACCCCGTGGACGCGTGCACCGCGTTGCTGAGCGCAAACTCAACAACTGGGAGCTGCGTCGACCACGTACGTGGTGCTGCCGCGCACACACTGCGCAGAGTGTCCTCGAGCACTCGATTGACGCGCTCTGTTTGGCCGTCGGTCTGCGGATGGTCCGCAGTGGACATCTGCAGACGAGTTCCCAGTAAAGGGAACAGCATTTTCCAAAACGCGGCAGTGAACCGCGGGTCTCGGTCCGAGACAATCGTCTCCGGGAGACCGTGATAGCGGAACACGCCATCGACGAACAACCTTGCGGTTTGTTCGCCCGTCACAGTGACGGGAACTGGTGCAAGATGGACCATCTTGCTCAGCCGACACACGAACACCAAAATTCCGGTGTTGCCGTGTCCGTCGGCGGGAAGCCAAAGATGAAGTCAAGGCTCATCGACTTCCAACAATCAGCCGGTATAGTGGAGCCGACGAGTGCCCTGCGGGTTTGACCCGCTGACATGTTTCACATGTCTTGACGTACTGGGCGATCCACTTGTACATGTGGGTCCACCAGAAGGACTGAGAGACCGACAGAAAGGTCTTCTCGCGGCCCAAGTGGCCGCTGGAGGGCGCGTCATGCGCCTCCGCGAGGATGTCGAACTTCAGATCCTCGTCGTTGGGTACGACCACCCGTGGAGGATCAGTGGGCTCCACCCGATAATAGAGGAGGCCCTCCTTCAACTCATATCGGTGGAGCCGTGAGCGCTGTCGCGACGAGTGCCAGTCGGACTTCGCGCTCGTTCCGGCCTTAAGGAACTTGACGATAGGCGCGACAGCCTCATCGTCCCGATACGCCATGCGTATCCGATCATATAGATCCGTTGCCACCCGCGTGATGTGGGCCAACTCATAGTCGGGACGCCGAGAGAGGTCGTCCGCAAGCACGTTGAGCTTGCCCGGCTTGTATTCGACGCGGAAGTTGTATTCCGCGAAGAAGGACAGCCACCTCGCCATCCTTTGGGAGAGGTGAGGCGAGTTAGTCGCCGTCCTCAAGGACGCGTGGTCTGTGTAGCTCACAAAGGGCCTAGAGCCCATAAGGTGAACACGGAACTTCACAAGGGCATATTACATTGCCAGGAGCTCCTTGTCATGGACAGGGTAGTTCCGCTCGGCGGCTTTGAGCTGCCGGGACTGGAACGAGATGACTCGTTCCTGTCCAGCCGTGTCGTCCTGCAGCAATGCACACCCGATGGCGTAATCGGAGGCATCGCAGACGACGCTAAACGGCTTCGTCTCGTCCGGCAGAGCCAGGACAGGGGCCTCTTGGAGACTGGCCTTGATGCTGTCAAAAGCATCCTGGTGCTCTTGTTCCCAGCGCCAGTCGACGTCCTTCTGAAGGAGGCTCGACAAGGGCTTAGCGAAGCCCGCGTACCCAGCGCTGTACTTGTGAAGGTAGTTGGCCAAGCCCAACCACTTTCGAAGATCCTTCTGGGATCGGGGCGTCGGCCATGCTGCTATGGCCTTGACCTTGTCTGGGTCAGCCCGAA